AGGGCCTGGATTTCCACAAGGATTTGCAGAACCACACCATGTTGAAACCACTGTGAGGCTGAGCGCTGAGGCTCCTGCCAAGAGGGGTGGGGTCCATCCTATCTACATTCGCCAGTGCACCACCTTGCTTTGCTGCTGTGAAGATACCCTTGTCCCCCTCAGTGAGGCCTGGTAGCCCAGCTGTCACGGTCTCGTTTTCCCCGTCAGGAGCATCTGAATAAACCAGCTCATGAATACAAGAAGTACAAGTCATTTTTGCTTTTGTTAAAGGACAAGATCAATCACTTGCTCCAATATCTCAGTAGCCAGTGCCCCTACATTTTCATAATTCCTCCTATTCATTTATGGTTTCCTTGCCTATGCCTAATGAAAGAATTAAGAATAATAAATATAATCATCTTTTCCAAATCTGTCCATGGCTTTTACAAAATTGTCAAGGAATTATCAGCTGTTTTTATTGTTGCTATAGTCTGGATTTTTGGTGTCTGCTGAAAGCCCCTGTATTGAAGCTTTGGTCACCAGGTGTTTGAACCAGTAGGAGATGCCGAACCTTTAAAAGGCGGGGCCTACTGGAAGGAAGTTAGGTCATTGGGGGTGTGACCTTGTGGTGCTGTGAGCGCCTGCCCTTCCAGCTTCTTCTTCCTGGTCTCCAGGAGGTGAGCAGCCTCCTCTACCACATGTTCCCATAGTGCTGTACTGTACCACCCTGTCCCACCCTGAGCCCAGAGCACCAGGGCCAGGTGACCATGCGCTGAAGGCTCTGAGCCATAATAAACCTTTTCCTTTATTAGGTGATCCCAGGTATCTTGTCATTGTGGCCTCGCACAACTGGCCACATTAAGTCTCCTACTTTACCTGATAATTAAATTGCACAATGATAGCGACAAGGTGGCTAGCAGAAGTGAATCTGTAAGTTGCACCTGCTTTCCTAGCCTTTAGAGCAGATCGGTGGGGAGAGTTCCCAGAGCGCCTCTGTTCCCTTCTCCCTGCGAGGCCAGCTGGTGCAGGCGACAAATGCCCGGTTCACTAGATGGGAGACCTCGCTCAGGGCCCTCGTAGTGGACCTGCATGGCATTTGCTGGGCCTCGCACTGGTCACCAGGGTGGCACTGAAGAGGACGTGGGTATGAGTTTGCTCTCCCAGGCCAGGCCTAGTGGCTCCATGGAGTCTGGTGTCTGGGGAGCCCCTTGTTATTGAAGGTACTGCAGGGCAGTCAACACGCAGAGCCAAAGCTTTCACTGAGGAGCGAAAGTAAGATGAAAAGACAGCGTCAAATAGGAATAAAGGGTGTACTGAGAAATGTGGGTGTGCCCTGCTCGGGGAGGTGACAGGACGAGTTTACACTACCAGGAGAAATGGGATTGCCGGGGGCAACTTCAGAATCTGTTCTGAAGTCTGGATGATCCATTGCTGAAGCCCTGAGAGACTCCTCTGATTCCCAGCTCTGCCCTCCCAGACAGTGTCACTCAACCTGTGAGGACAGATTCACTTCTGTCTCCCAGGAGCCTGCACTGTGGCAGGCATGGGGAGACAGGATTTCCAGGATGGCAAGTGGTGGATTGAGATCAGGGAGCAGAGGTTCTGTGTTTGGTGGTGATTTTCGCCGGTTCCCAGCCCTTCCAAAGGTCTGGTTTGTGGCTGCCCAGCTGGTCCCCACCTCCCTTCTGCCCAACAAGCACCACGAGCCTGACCTTGTGCACCACTGACCAGATATGATGCAGAGCAGCCCAGGAAACAGCGGAGAAGCACACAGGTCCTAAGGCCCATGCACTCGCAGGCTGGTACAAAAACGCAGACTCTGGTAAGCAAATTCTAGCTATGTGGAAAAAGACCTACTCTCAGTGAGTCTTAACCAAGCTAATTTACTTCTGAACATCTTACAGGCTCTGGGGTATTTGCATAATCACCTTGGAAAAGGTAAATTGCTTCCCAGGAGGCAAAGTTTGTACAGTTTCCCCTTATTACATTTTTATTGGAGAGATATCTAACGCTATGGGGATAAACAGAAGTCTCCTCCTTTAGAATCCAGCCCAATCACTAGACAACATTTTTGTATTTATGGTCACAATTGTTCTTCATTATTTCTGTTTAAAAATAAAAATTTACAATAAAAAGTATTTTTCCTACTTTTAGATTTTAGCTACTCAATTTTAGACATTTGCAGAAACTGTAAGTGAAGCAATATCAGAATGAGGATATTATAATATAGATATTTGGATTTTGGATATTTGGATGTGGCCATGGTTTCTGAGTCCAGTCTCCCTTGCCCAGTGGACCAGGGAAACTAGAATTTCTGGCCCCCATGGCTGGTCACAGAAACCATCTTTCCGCCTTTCTGCTTTGGAGCTGGACGCAGAGTCCCCTGCCTGCCTGCCTGTCTGCGGTGCCTGGTCGTCCCTCATAAGAGTATGGCTGCCTGGACCTGGGCCCAAGGGTGCATGTGGGAGCCCTCACCCACAGTCCTCGCCCTGGGGGCACCCACTGATGGGGTGACTCTGACGGCCCACCCCATTCCAAGTCAGAAGAGGCCTGTGTTACAGTGTGATAGGAGATACTGGGTCTGGTTGGGTCCTTTGTCGTGCACCATTGGATCCCTCCTGTAGGGGAGGAGGCTGGGCAGGGCTCCAAGGGTGCTGTGCTCGCTCTTCCCGCTCAGATGGTCCCTGGTGTGCTGCTGCTCTTGGTCCCTGTCCCTCTCAGGGTCACCAACTTTCTCCCCAGACTCATGCCTCTCATCTGGTGCTCTAAATCAAGGCCCTGATGCTTTGGACCTGATGTGGGGCAAGGGCGGGCCCCTTCTGGGTTATGGGGGGGCTCACTTGAATTTTCCTTTAGACAGTTTGCCAGCATAGGCATTTGCTTCTTGCGCAGTCTAAAAATAGCTTTAAAATGCATATGAGTCACCGCACTCGTCTGCTGGTGTCACCATGCTCAGGAGGTGGTTGGCGGGCGGGGCTGTGTGTGTGTGGACCTGGAGTCCAGGCTGGCCCAGCAAGGAGCAGCAGTGACAGAACCCGCCCTGCAGAAGCCCACTGGCACCGTCCTGGGAGGCATGAAGCGGCAGGGCTGGGATCCAGGCTGCCAGGCCAGACTGTGTTGTGGGTGGACACTGGGCTGCGCCCAGGGTCACCTTCAGGCTGTGTGATAGCAGGGTTCAGTGCGGAGGCACCATGGCCATATAGAAGGGAGAGGGCCTGCAGGAAGCTCAGGGAGCTGTGGGAGACGCACCCTGGAGCAGCACTGATCTGGGCCCTGAACTGTGAGGCACAGTTGGGACTTCTGAGGATGGGATCCTGACTGGGCACCTTGCTGCAGGCCATCTGCTGCCCTGGCCCACACTGGCATGAAAGGGACCTTCTCAGTGTGCAAGGGCTGACCAGAGGTACGGGGCATGTTTAAATAAAACAAATTTATTGCAGTCAAAGACACACTGCCATGAATCCCCCGGTGGCCGACATCCCATTATTCCTACCACTTTCTCTTTCCTGAGAGTCTTTAGTTGTGCTGTTGCAGCTGCCTTGGTGTCCTGAACTGATGTAAAATGTTTCCCTTTCGTAGTCATTTTGAGTTGGGGATGAGCCCGATGTCAGAGAGTCAGATCCAGGGAAGAAGGTAGACAAGAACACAGTGTCATTCTTGACCAGCCTGCTTTTCTGTCAGATGGTGCTGGGCAGCAGCAGTCACTGTATTTTTTATCACACCTTGTACAGTCCCTCGTGAAAGAGGACTCCAGAACGGCTTCAGAAAATGGCAGGAATGATGCTATGCATGGGTTCACAGTGAGGGGAGGGTTTTGGAGTGGATTAGTGGTGGTGTGATTTTTGCTGTAATAAAATTTTTAAATGGAAATAACTACAGTATTTTTAATCACACTTCATAACCCTTTTATTCCAACTAGAAAACTTGGATGTTTAAGTTGGTCTTATTCATTAAGACTTACACGTTTAATTTTTTCCTTTAGTTTTAAATTCCTGAAATGAACAAAGAACTGTGAAGCATTTTCTAAATGCTATAGGAATATTTAGTCCTTTCTACTTAAAAATAAATAGCACATGCATACCAAACTATGTCATTCAGAGCTCTCCAATTTACCATTTGCAGAGACCTTTGCTATGTTGAAAAATAAGCATTTGGATTATATTTTATTGATGCTAAAGACATTTTCTTCCAAAAGTATACGTTACCTTGCAGACGAGATTTGCCTTTTAGCTAATAGACTGAGCTTCTTCTAGAAGTGCAGCAGGAGGCACCTGCAGGTGGAAAGTCTTCCTGTGGCCACCTCTGAATAGCCAGGACGCCATGGCCCTCCAACCCAGACACTCCAGCCCCTTCGGTAGTGTGGCACAGTGTCCACCTAGGACCACCCCATCCTCCTGGGTCCTTACCTCATGCCCACATGGCTTGTCGCACCTGGTGCCTTGCACATAGTTGTTACACTGTGCTGCTTAGAAAGTACCGATGAGATCAAGTCTGTACTGGTTCAGGGTGACCACAATTGCTTTTAATATGTTCATGCTGTAGTGAGACCCCTGGGTGTGGTGCACAAAGAAACTGAAGTGGGCCCCCATGGTTGTAGAACCCTTGAAGTTGCATTTAGAATCTTGTGTCTTTTGCACGCCTCTCCTCTGTGGGCGCAGCCCATTTGGCAGATTCGTCTCAAGCTCGCATTTGCTGGGAGCTGTTCTTGCCTCAGCTGTTCCTCAGCTGTTATGTAGCGGAGCCGCAGAACCAAATCCTAATCGGGAGGTGGCAGAAGTGACTTCTAATTCCAGTGGGGGTGGGTATTGTGAGGAGGAGGTGAGGATTGGGAATTGGGGGTTGTTTTGGTTGGGAGCAGCATGGAGACGCTGCAGGAGCTCTGAGAGGCACCCGGCAGCTGTGCAGCGCTGGGAGCCCGGGAGGGGCAGTGCTTCTGGGAGGGCCTCCCGCCCAGCTGGAGGTACAGACAGGCCGACGAGAGCATGCATAGGGACTGAACACCTGCCACCTGCGGCCTAAAGAAGCAGCGGTTTATTTTGGCTCACGGTTTCAGAGGCTTCAGTCCAAGGCAGGAGCACCTGGCAGAGGGCATGCAGGAAAGATACTTGGTCCGTGGTGCCAGGAAGCAGAGCACAGGGAAGATCCAGAGAGGAAGGGGCCACGGGCCGGATACAGTCCCCGGGGTCCGCTCCCTCCAGCCAAACTGCGATCCCTGAGAGCCACTCTGTTAGGAACCCATGTCTGAGGTGAGTGCAGAGTCCAGTCCCTCCCCTGGAGCGCTGGGTCCTGCAAGGTGCCGTGAGCCTGAACAAGCACAGACCTGGAGGCAGGAGCTGGGTTTCCGAGCACGGGAGGCAGTCAGGGCAGTGAACACAGGTGCGCTTCAGGGTGCGCAGGACTGTCGGTTGCATTTGAGGTGAGGAAGGACAGAAGAGCACAGTCCCACCCAGTGAAGCAGGGTAGAGAGAAGATGAGTGAGCAGAGCCGGAAGAGATGCGAGCTTGCCCTCTCAGGCCCCCGTGCTCTCTGTGTCTGCAGGACGTGTGGATGGAGGGTGGGGATGTCCTGGGAGGGCTCCGTGCCAGGTGTGGTGATAGTTTCTGGAGGAAGTGGGTTTCTGTGCTATGTGTTACACCTGGGGGACAGCAGAGGGGCTGAGGCAGGGGAGCTGGCCCCTGGGCTGTGACAGGAGAGTAACCTGTCCACCTCCTGCACTGTCACAGAAGAAGCACGCATGGGACTCTGTCCCTGGAAGACGGGCTTTGGAAATGAAAGGTTTTGGCCACAGCGGTGGCTGCTCCATCACCTGACTGCAGCTCCCCAGGTGAGGAAAGCACGCTGTCTACGTCACTCACTCAGGATGGTGGCCTCTGCAGTGAGCCCACAGGCTGAGGCTGTCTGTCCCACAGCGCACCTGTCCCATCCTTACAGCTTCCTTCCCTGCAGAGCTGCACTTTGAGGGGAGGGACTTGGGCTGCGTGCGGCGTGGTATTCGCAGCGCTTCCACAAGCAACTTCCCATGCTACCCGGGCTCCAGTGCGCAGATGGTGTCACTGTCCACATCTCTGTGGAGGGTAAGAAGACAGCAGACAGCACTCACGCTGTGGGGCATGGGGTGGCTCGCGTGACCTTAGTCTCCTGACAGGTTCCGGTGGGGCATTGTCCTGTGGCAGGGGCTGGTGGGATAGGAACCTGCGTGGTGCAGCCAAGCTGCAGAAAGCCGCAGGGCTGTGTTGCCCTGTGGGGCACCGTGTGGGAGGAGTAGGTTTCCACAGTGACTAATATGACCTTTTAAAAATATGTACTAGGGTTTGAAGCCAGGGCCTTTACACTGAGCTGCCTCCCCAACCCTATTTTTTATTTTGAATTTTGAGACAGTCTCTCTGAAGTTGCTGACTCGAGGCTTGAACTAGACATCCTCCTGCCTCAGCCTCCCAAAGTGCTGGGATGACAGACACAAGCTACCAATGTCCCCTATCTTGTCTTTCTAATGCGAAGACTCCTGGAAAGTTGGAAGAGTACAGAGGCCCCCATGTGCTCTTCTCCGCCCCCTTGTGGCCACATTATTCCAAACAAGTAGCCGGCTGCAAAACAGGAGGCGGTCACTGGCACAACCCAATCCATCCTCCTCCTGCTGTCCACACCCTGAATCCTCCTCTCTTCCCCAGCAGCCGAAGGTGTTGTACCGATGGGATCCTGTGTTTCATGACTTTTTTCGAGTACTGAGGATTGAACCCAGGGTCTTTACACTAAACTACGTCCCCAGCCTTTTAAAACACTTTTTCTTTTTGAGACATGGCCTCAATGAGTTACCAAGTTGCCCAGGTTGGACAGGACCTGGCCAGTCTCCTGCCTCAGCCTCCCAGAGTGCTGGGATGATAGGTGTGTGATACCCAGCTCTTTACCTTTTCACCACCTCGAACTGCACCACAGCTCTGGCGTCCTTTGAGAATGGTGCTTGCGCCCAGTGTGTGCATGTGGAGCTGTGCTGGAGGCCAGAGTCCCTGCATCTTGTAGATAAAGGAAGCTTCTAACCTGGCTGATTCCATGTTCTAAGAGAAATAGTGAGCTACAGAAAGTTTATCTGATGAAAACTCGCCTGCCCTGTCATCCTTCTCAAGTGCCGTTCATTCCTGTCCTCTGCTTCGCTCCCAAATGCTCATACTGACTGATGAGTGTGCAAATGAACACGAATTTGCTGTTCGAATTTTAAGGCTGCAGCACCACCAGTCTTCACAGCTGTAATTCCAGTCCATTATAATCCTCCTCCTGCACTGCTGGGCCAAATCGCTCAGGAATCTGCCGTCCTCTCAGCCTGTCCTTTGGGAATAACAGGAAGGACAGGAAGGAAATAGAGTCTAAGAGAGGTAAGGTTGAGATGCAGGAGTGAGGCGAATTGAGACCCTCACCCAGGGCATGGCCCTCTGTGTGCTACCCAGGCTGCTGAGCCACCAGCAGCACAGTTTGTATCCCTGGCCTTAGGCCTTCTTGGGCTGCAGGACATGTCAAAGCCAAAGGTACTTTCCTGTTTTCCAGTTTACTCTGCAAATGCTTTCACCGGCAGACAGATATCTTCAGCACCTTCGCTCATTGTATAAAAGTGAGCTGTGCTTTTTCAGGCTCAGCAGCAGCAGAACTGGTGCCATGAGTCAGTGATACCATCAAGGCGGTGGCTGTGTCTTTTCCCTCGGCTGTCCTCTGTGTCACATGTTCTTGCGAGAAAACCCAGGCTTTCTGGTAACTGCCAAGGTGAAGTGCGTCTCTGGGCTCGGTGGAGGGGCTGTGGATGAGCAGTGGCCCTCAGTGGCCTGAGCTTGGCCAGGGGGGATACTGGGGCCTGGAAACCTGCAGGCTGTGCAGGGCGCTGCAGAACATGGGGACACTCCCTCCAGCAGGGCCAGCGCCTCCCTGGGAGTGGCATCCTGTGGGGGAGCAGAGCGGGGACTCGGGTGCAGCTGTGGGCCAGGTGTGCGTTGCAGCGCAGGAAATCCCAGCATCCCTGGGCTCCTGGGGCTGAGGTTCCACGTCTGTCACAGCTTGTCCTGGAAGGAGGCTGGGGCTGGGCGCTATTGACTGGTTGGCCACTCTGTTCAGCTGCCCGCCACTTCAGCTGCTTTACCACACGTGTGCTTCTGAACACACATGGTGAGACCAAAACATGCAGTTAGTTGAATGCTTAGAATTTATTACAAGGCACGGCATTGCCAGGAGCCCCCCTCAGGACCGTCCCCCGCCTTTGAACACATCCCATCCTTCTTGCCACTTTCTGGAGCAGCTTTGGAAGCATGTTTTTGTGATTGCCTCAGGGTCCTGAACCAGTTCCAAATGTTTCTGGCAATTTCTGTCAAATTCAAACACAGTGCCTTATCCTCTTCCCCTTATTCACTGGATCTGGCACTGTGCAACTCCCAGCTCTTCCAAAAGGTAAAAATGACCATGAAAGGGAAATAAATGTGTTAGACTTAATCGGGGCTCTTGAAGTACAGCATTCTTGGCTGGATTTCATCCTCCACAGAGGTAGGCCCACTCAGTGGCCTGGAGGACTGGGGTCCACGTCCTCCCTCGTGTGTCCATTTCCTCACTCGGCCTGAACAGCCACCCTGGCCCCCAGGCCATTTAGGGTAGCAGAAGGCCAGGTGAGGTGCGGGCCTGCTTGGGGCGCCCCCTGGTGGGGATAGGAGTGTGATGTCCCCTCCTGGGCAGGCAGACACTGAGAAAACAGAGGCTTCCTCACACTTCACTGACCTAAATGGTGCTTAGTGAGCATGTGGTCCACGCTAGTGATGAAGTGTTCCATGCCCTTAACACACATTCCCGAGGCCAGCCCACACTGATAGCTGCTTTGGCCCCCTTGTGCCGAGCCTGTGTCTGCAGCTCCTCCGGCTCACGTGGTCCTGAGCCTCTGCCCTGGGCCGGGCGGGCGAGGAAAACCACAGGGGCACAGCAAGAGCAGACAGCGGCTTCTGTGCTGAGCTGGATGCAGTATGGGGTCACGGGTGTTTTCCTAAGTGCCCGGCTCTGCACAGCAGAGGCAGTAAGGGTGACCTGAGGTGGAGACTCACCAGCTCTCCCTCCCCTCTGCCCAGAGTTGGCGATCTGTGGACAGCCGGCTAAAGCTCGTTTTGCTGGGGTCTGTAAGCTAAGAATTCCTAAAAGTTTTATTTTATTTTTTTTATGAGAAGGAGGATAGAATTTTGTACCCTAAGAAAATGCTGTGCATCCCCAAGATTAGTGTCTACGAGGGCAGCTGCACTGGTAAACAGTGCGGTTCATTCTCTTATGTGTTTCTCTTGTGCCACAGTGCTTGAGCAGTTGTGACAGAGCCCAGGACCCCAAAGTTTAAGACATTCACTGTCTGCCATTTCTGGAAAGTGTTCGCCGACCCTGACCTGAAGCACAACACAGTGCCATTTCCCGGTGGGCTGTATTTGCCCATTGACTACCCCCCACCCCCCAGGGGCTCTGAGTGAGGGATTGGGACAGCCTGTAGGGGCCACCACTGGGCAGCATTTCTATCCACCAGGTCCAGTGGGTATAAATGAACCCAAAGGCATATACAACAAGCAAATAACCAAGAAGTGATAAACACTGAATAGTTACTATTTGTTGCTTTGACCTAGTTAGTGCATTTGGTCATAAGTCCATGTAACCTAAATGTCCATAATGAGCATGGTACTAACAGTCCAGAAATTCTGGCAGCGAGCTCCTGGGAGCCATAATGAGCAGTGCAGGGTGCACATGGCTAGGGTACCAAGCTGGAGGGGTGTGTGGAGGGGCACTGGTTCCCTTCAGTTGGAGTGCTCAGAAGGATTTCCTGACCTGTGTCTTTGGGATCAGGCAGAGTTGCCAGGGAAATGGGAGAGGAGACCCAAGATGGGGCAGCATCTGTCTGCCGGCCTGGCCAACAGGTCAGTCACCTGCCTGCTTGCTGAGCTGCCACTCGGTCCTTGCTGCAGGCAGGGTGACATTAGAATGAACTGTCCATGGTGCGGCAGCGTGACCTATGACGTCCACTAGCAGTCCCGGGCAGGACTTCAGGGGGCAAGCAGTTCACAGCCTCCAGAGTCGGGACACCCCAGCTTCTGGGCTGAAATCCTGGCTCGCCTTTTTTGGGAAACCCGCCACTGTAAAACACCATGGAAAAATCACTCCGTCGTGTTGCTCTACTCAAATATGTCTTTCGTTTTCATTGTTAGTGTTGTTTCTGAAATAGAGGCACAAGTTTGAATACACTCCCTGAAAGCAT